TCGCACACACACACTTCATAATCACACCCACACACTTCATAATCACACCCACACACTTGAACAATCACACCCACACACTTAACAATCACACCCACACACTTAACAATCACACCCACACACTTAACAATTACACCCACACACTTCATAATCACATGAGCATATCTAAGAATCACTTCGGCCTCGCATATACCTACTAAACCTCTGACACTCAATAACCTACCCTCCTCTCGCGCCAGTGGTTCTGCATTGCCACCTGTAGCCACATCCCTGCTCGAGTTCCGTACAGAGCCATCTAGAGATGCGCCGTATCGCTCTAAACCGGTACCTTCTGCACTGAAAAACGGGACGGGTTACCATACCGTACTTTCGTACTATATATATGCCCTAGACCATTCTGGTGGAGTGCACCCAATGCTAAGCAATGTCCATGGCTGCAAGTGTGCTTAGGCTTGCAGGGTTTAGGGTTTACCCACCCCAGCGCCTTCTACGGCTGGTATTGTAGAGGATGTACTACTGATTTCTACATGTGTGTCTACTACAGATGAGGCGCCACGTGCGCGTCCGCAGAACTACGCAGAGCTATTGAGTAATGCGCACATTTCGACAAAAAGCATATGCGACCATCTATGGCTACGATTCACCAAAGCGATGGGGAAGCAAGGCAGCAAGGAAACGGCACTCACCACAAGCGATTCGTGAACAGTATGCGCACATGCAGCAACAACAACAAACCTCCCCAATCCCCGACCCTGCACAATCACATGGTCAGTGCGACTAAAAACATAGATAGAGGACACATACAACATTAACTGATACATAGATAGAGGGCACATACAACATTAACTGATACATAGATAGAGGGCACATACAACATTAACTGATACATAGATAGAGGACACATACAACATTAACTGATACATAGATAGAGGGCACATACAACAATAACTGATACATAGATAGAGGGCACATACAACATTAACTGATACATAGATAGAGGGCACATACAACCTTAACTGGTACATAGATAGAGGACACATACAACATTAACTGATACATAGATAGAGGGCACATACAACATTAACTGATACATAGATAGAAGACACATACAACATTAACTGATACATCGATAGAGGACACATACAACATGCCTCTTCAAGTATGTGTTAAGCCTATCAAGTATGCATCATGCATGTCAGGCACTCGATAAGCTACACTTACAGTACATATGAGTATCAAATACTTATGCACTCGATGTGCTACACTTATAGTACATACGATTGCCAAATACTTGTGGATCATAACGCCTACCCGTCAACATGCCCAAATGCCCTATACGCACCCCATTACCCCCCCCCCCTCCAACACACACACACGCCCCAAGTGAGGTGAGGGCTGCCTTAACGACTGCGAAATGAGCTTAGAACATGAGAGCCATCGGGACTATACCAAGTGCCTACACACCTCACGCGATACCTTCATAGACCATACAATGCCCACATGCTCACCGTGCGTATCAAACTTATTACACAAACGCGCTGCACATAATTAAGCTGGGTCGTCTAGTACTTGCCTGTTAATGATCCCAAACGCCCCACACGCGTCACCCCTGGATGCGGAGAGGGCTGATCAAACGACTGCGAACTGGGGACACCCAGTAAGGGGTACGGCTGGTGTGTAATATGTTGGTAGTATCTATTACTCGCGTAGAGTGGCGCAGGTGAGGGGGAGCCCTTGTTGCCAAAGTAACTCTTTTCATTGGCGGATTTTGCCAGTGTTGGATGATGCTCATCGGCATCGTAGAACTCCATAAACTCGTCACTGATGGAGTCTATGGCCGCATTCGGACTTCTAGGAAACATTTGTGTAGAAATATGAATATGCAGATATATATGGTTGGTGGTTTGACGAGTTTTATGCCCACGCATTATTGTCTATGCAAATATATGAAGTATATATATACATATATATTATGTATATATATATATATATATATATATATATATATTATATAATATATAACTAACATACATACATACATATAAACATATATACATTACACACACATATATATATATATATACGTATATATATAATTGTAAACACATACAAACAAAACATTTTATTGAGTGTTCAAATAGGCAGATACATGCAAGCAATACAAGCACATGAAGTCTGTTCGCGGAAACCTTCATAAAAAACACGCGCCTCGGCCTGCGCGAGGGCACCAGCGGCGGTCTCCCAACCCCTGCGACAAGTACACACATCTCCATGTATACCTCCCTATACATATACTACTAAAACACACACCTTGGACCAGGCGAAGTTGCCTGTATTGGGTCTACAGACCCTGCTAAACCCAAGCCGGACATAGTTGTCGTTCGCCGAGGCGCAACCAAGTTGCTATTGGCACGGCTTAAACCGTCAAAGGACGCGCCTTGGTGGTGCAGGTTCTCCTCTGTATATTCACCCGATGTTGTGGTGGTGTGTACGATCAGAATGAATTTGATGGCAGTTTTTGTAGTTGCAACTACTGTTGTGCCTTTGCTCGCGAGACTTAATAGATCAATGG